TGGTGATAGTATTAATAGCAAAAATAATAATTTATTATCGAACAAATAATCTATAAATGATAGTACAAGTGCCTTAATTTAATTAAAAAACATTTTAAATATATAAGATTGAGTATATGAGTTTTTTTATTTATATTTATCTGAATTAATATTTACAATACATTTTTTAGCAATAGTTTTTCAAACTTAATTATTATACTATTAATTTTGTAGGAGTTAATTGTCATCCCTTGTGATAGAGGATGTATACATAACAGAACAATTTCATTCGCGTCCCTCTCAATTAAAAAAATGGCACGCTCGTGGGAAGGAACAATTTTTGGCAAATACTAATACGACATGCATCCGTATATAATAAGAATGCTAAAGGCTAACATAGTGATAGGAGGCGGTTTCCTATCGCGAGATTTTGAAGCATGTTAAAAATAATTTGCAATTTCAGAAATTTAATTTTTACTTATGGACTGACGAGTGACTTGCTCTGGCCGACTGGCATGAAAAGTGACCAGGATCCACGAACTGTGCAAACTGCGCTCAGCAGAATTGAATTGTTTTTTATCATTCAATGATGAGGACAGAGTGTAAACAACGAACCCAAACGTCATTTCTTTCACCAGTTGGCCAATACACGACGAAGTTAAATTCGGTCCAATCGCAGATTAAAATTAAACCCCAATACTATGATTAGAATTTAAGAACAAAACAGTGATTTTTTTTTTAAAAAAAAATTGCCAGTGTTATTTTAGTCCCCCGTCCACAGAGAGAGATATCAGAAAAAACCAGTCGTTTCGCGGGAAAACGACGACGTTTCATTGATCAAGCGGGTGAACCAGATAACCGCCCTGACACCTCCACTTCCCCGTGATCAAAATTTCAGAAACCGGTTTTGCTTTTAACTGTTTTATTTTTTTCTCTGCCCCCTTGTTCCGAGCAGTTTTTGATCCCTCGATGCTTTGTTGTTAGTTTCGCAGGGTGAAAAATAATTTACCTCCCCCGGAACACTTGTTTTCTTTTTTTGGGAAGAAAATAAAATCAATTGAGATTACAGTCTGAGCAGGATCGGGGAGGCCCACAGGGCACCAAATGATTAGCAGTGAAAGTGTGTGAAAGTATACAGTGTTTTGACGGAGTTTACGAACTAGAAATCGGGATGAAAATTTTTGAAGGTAGAGACAGAGAGACAGGTTGCTCCATGCAAAGCTAAGTTCAGTGTAAACCTTTTACCTTACAATCTGAAATAGTCTATCAGAATCGGAAGTAACTGTCAGTGGGGCTAGCAATAGGAAAATCGGTGGCTTAAGGGTTCATATCGTAGAAGTCCCATTTTGAGAATCATTGAGCTGCTGCCCCTTCTTTTAGAATTGTTAGCTTTCTGGGTTTCTTCCAATTTGGGAGACGCAGCCATAAGGAAGAAGACAGGTATGATAGAGAAAGAAGCGAGGGGAGGGACATAGTGAAGGTGTTTAGAAGCAAAAGAGGGTCCTACTGCTAGATTTTTGGCGGGCAGGAACAGTAACCTTCAATGATTTTACTTGGGTAGTGGTGGTGGCTATCTCAATGACCCATCTAATCACACCTGCATATTGTTGTTTTCCTGGGAAATTCGATCATAAGCTAAACCTCTTGCTCCTCTTCTCCTGCTTTACTCTTCTTCTCTGGCTTTCTTTTTTCTCCAGGCTTTTTTTCACTAGGAGGCGGTTTTGGAGGCTGCTGAAAAAAGCTATCTGGTCAGATTTTTTGGGGCAAAAGGGAAAGCCGGATCCTAGTCATATGAACAGACCTTCAAGAGTAAGTTCTTTTTTAGTTTCCTTCTCTATCCTTCTTCTGATCTTTCTACATTCTCCATGAAAAGCTCCCGATGTTACTTCCTTCAGATTTTGGTAGTGCAGTGAGATCTAAAGCAAAAAAATTTGGAGAAACATCAAGAATTCAAGAATACCAACTTCGAAAGTATTTGTGAGAACTTAGTTCTGTGAAGATCTGGGTTAGCATAGTGGAATACTGGGTGATGATTAGTTTTGGCCAAATGTAGCTGATCGGCACAGATTTTTAACCCCTTGATTTGGGATATTACTTGATTCCTGTGAGCGATGTTTATAATTCTGTGTAGTTCGGACTATAGTGTTTAAATTACTTTTTAATATCTTCTCTCCGTCCCCTGAAGAATTAAGATCTCCAGTCAGAGAATAACTGATGGTGGAAAATTTGTGTTTCAGCTGGCCAATGTGCTTCTGGTACTTGCGTTGTTCACCAGTTGCAGCTCATGGACAGTGTGGAGCAGCTCATGTTGCAAGCATACAAACTCGGGGGAGGTTCGACCTCACAGCGTCAGCATCACCGAATTTGGGGCTGTAGGAGATGGCATCACTCTCAATACAAAAGCATTTCAGAATGCCATCTTCTACCTAAATTCATTTGCAGAAAAAGGCGGAGCCAAGCTCTTTGTCCCTGCTGGTCGGTGGTTAACTGGTAGTTTTGATCTCATCAGCCATCTAACTTTGTGGTTGGACAATGATGCCGTGATTCTTGGATCAACGGTAGGTCAGGCTTAGTAAATAATAACATGATGTGATGCAGGAAAAGGGGAAGTTTAATTTAGTGTAACTACAACTTGCCCGTGCTGCTCTAGCTTGTCCTAAGAAAATCTGAAGTAGAAGTAATCTTTCAGCACAGATACAATGTTAATAAGCTACATCCCGTGCTAATATTAATATTTGAGCAAGCTATTTTATTATAATGTACAGGAACTGAATGGCATATCCTGCTTGTTACAGGACTTTGAGGACTGGCCAGTTGTTGACCCTCTTCCATCATATGGCCGAGGAAGAGAGTTGCCGGGTGGAAGGCATAAAGCCCTCATATATGGCTGCAATCTGACTGATGTCATCATAACAGGTCAGTATATACTCGTTTTAACATTTTCTTTACCAAAAGATAAAGAAACAAGATCCTCGGTCAACATTTAACATATGTGGATATGGTTTTCTGGTCCCATTAATGTTGCAATGAAGGTAATAATGGAACTATAGATGGTCAAGGCAGTATCTGGTGGAGCAGCTTTCGGAACAAAACCTTGGATTATACACGTCCTCATCTGGTGGAGTTGATGAATTCAACTGGGGTTCTCATATCTAATTTAACCTTTTTGAATTCACCTTTTTGGACAATTCACCCTGTATATTGCAGGTTTGTGAATAGAAGGGTTGAGTTTACGTTTCCTTCCCGATTTTCTCAACTTTAGTGCTTTCATTAGCATTTTAAAATGTGCAATAGTGAAGCTTTCATTAAGGGTAGATTTGAGACTGTTTTTCTGGATGAACAGCCAAGTTAGAGTTCAGAGTGTCACGATCCTTGCTCCACTCGATTCACCAAATACAGATGGGATTGATCCGGGTGAGTTCCTCTTCCCTGTGCTCCAAAGTATTATCCTTCATGTAATTGTCAACTGACAAGTTTTTTCTAACCAAAATCCTAAACTCCAGTGCTTGAAATAGCTTGGATGTGGATATCTGTCACAGAGAAAATTCTGCATGGCCTCACATGAGCCACACACTAATCTAGATTTGGGCATTATGCAGAAAAACAAGCTAGTTATTCATACAATATGATTAAAATAAAAATGAAATGTTACGTGGAACCCAAAAAAAAAAAAAATGAAATGTTATGTAAAATAAGGCAGATGGATCTTGTCCTTTCCATTCTATCCTTTTACTAAGGAAAGAAATTGAAGAATTCTTATACTTTTAAACGTGTCCAGATTCTTCTGACCATGTATGCATTGAGGACTGCTATATAAGCACCGGTGATGATCTGATTGCGATCAAAAGTGGTTGGGATGAGTATGGCATTTCATTTGGCCGTCCTAGTACACACATAATCATTAATGGGCTAATGGGGAAAACTCAAACAAGTGCCGGTGTTGCTATTGGAAGCGAAATGTCAGGAGGTGTATCAGATGTCCATGCAGAAAACATTCATTTTTTCAGTTCTCACACTGCAATCAGAATAAAGACATCTCCTGGAAGGGGGGGTTATGTTAGAAACGTCTATATTTCTAACATGACCTTGTCTAAAGTAGACATTGCCATCAGATTCACTGGTCTATATGGGGATCACCCCGATGACTCTTTTGACCCAAATGCTCTTCCTGTCATAGAAAGGATCACTATCAAGGACGTGATAGGAGAAAACATTGAACGTGCAGGTCTCATCGAGGGTATAAAAGAAGACCACTTTGTGAACATCTGCTTATTCAACATTACGCTCAATGTTAGCTCAAACTATCCATGGAACTGCTCTTACGTTCAAGGATATTCTGACTCGGTCTCCCCAGAAACTTGTGAGCCTCTCAAGGACAGAATATTCCCTGAGCATTGTTCAGACTGTTACTATTTATCAAGTCACATGCGGAGTACGAGTAATGAATATAGAGGTGCTTGGTTGATGTCTTGGTAAAATTAAGGAAATTTATGGCATTTGCTATGAGAGTTCACTCACAACTGAAATTTGATTGCTGCCTTTTTTCAACAGGAAAAATATCTCCTGACATGAGTTGATTGAGTTGCTGATCTGTGGTTGGTTGTGAATCTGCGGATTGATACTTGAGAGATGATTGTTTCTTGTGACTTGTTTGCAATAACAATAATTGAGTGATTTGTCAGAAATAGGAAGTGAATTATTTGTTTTCATGTGTATTGCTTTTCTAGCTACATTTGGCCAAAAAAGAAAAAAGAAAAGGATTGAAATGTTTCCATTTAATCAGGGATATTGGAGAATTCGCCGCAGCAGACTAGGGCAGGTGCTTCTTGGCTTCTTTGACAATAATTGTTAGTTGTTCATTATTCTCTAGTAAACGGAGGAAGACACGGTAAGTACGCAAAGCTTAATATATAGCTTGAAAAGCGAAGTTTCAGGAAGATTTTAAAGACCTGAAAATGACAAGATTGCCTTTAAATTACAGTGAAGTTGATCCAATGGAACATACATTCCCAGTTGCAACGACCAGAATTACCCCATGTATAAGTTATGATAATGAACATATCATGTATCAGTATCTTTCTCAAAAGCTGAGAATAAAACTATCTATATTCGGGATGGTTCACTTCCATCCTTGCTTATAACTGAACATAGAACCTGTCTTGAAATATGTGTTTCAAGCTCTCTCGATACACCTGTTAACTTCAAATCAAAACTGCTCCTGTATTTGTGTTGTGGGGAAGCCAGTATGCTAGAGAAGACTGTTGCTGAGCCAGAAAGTCTCCTTCTGGGGCTTGATAACCTGCCTGGTGATCCTGGAAGCCTGCCCTTAAACATAAAAGGACTAGAATCAGTTCCCACATTGCCCATATTTTGATTTGCGTGCATCAATGGGCCACGTTTTGTCTCTAGAGGAAGGGGTTTCAAAGGATTTTGCACTCCTAATGACTTTTCTTTCGCAAGCCTTTCTCTGGCCTTCTCAGTTGCTAGTAGGGCCTTCTCTTGGGTCAACTTTATGAGTTTCCATGGGTTTATGTTGACATGGAATCCCGATTTAGTCTCAGTTTCTCCTTCAATTCTGATGGACAATCTGCGTGAGCCCTGAAATTTAGCATAAACTATCCTGTTTAGGAGTCAGAATATGATATGCGAAGCTAATGTAGGCTAACTTTTTACCTGATTCATTCTTTGCCCTTTGCACAGAAACCTTGACATCAGAGTTGGCTTCTCAGGGGTATCAAAATCGATGCTCTCGTCTGAAGAGAAATCAGAATCATCTATTGAATCTACTTCAAGGGCTTGGTTCTCTTCTTTCATTGCCAAGATGTAGTCATAGGTTCTCATCCCCTACAATATTTGAACACACTAAATGAGTTAACAACAAGAACATTCTATTAAGAGAACAAGAATGTAGTGTTTTCTTGTCCACACCAGGCCACGCAAACATATTCCTCCTTTCATGCATTTTTTGAAGACATCATTTTGCTAGAATACCTCAATCTAGTAACACACTTATGGGCTTCTAAGACTTTTTTCATCCTCTTCACACTGCGTTCTTTACTGGAATTAAACTCTAATATCACTGGTTAGGCTCAAGGAGCTTCTTGAAGTGGGAAGAAACATCTAGATCCAACAGTTCCAAGAAGATGAATATAAATAGGCTCAACAACACATTTTAACTCAAAACTTTATGGCATTGAGTTTATGGGTCTTTTCCACTTATACATTTTTTTTATCAAATCCAACTCAGACTTTTCTTTATATCAAGTCAACTACCTTTCCAATATTTTTATGTAGATTATGAGAGGGCCAATTAAGGAAAGAAAACTACCTTTCGTATCAGAACCACATGAAAGAAGAAAAGCTGTCCCAATGCTGCTGAACTATAAGCTGTCAGTAAAACTAGCAAAACCTGTAGCATTTTGAGAAGTTCAAAGCAAATTAAAAAGAAATGTTCGATTGAACTTGGAATGTAGCAAGAAATTCTAAAAACACCCCCGAAAAATAGTTTCAGATGACTCTTACACATATAGTGGCAAGAACTCCTCTTGGAAACTCTACATTAAACTCTCTCTCAAGCTCCTTTTCTATTCCGTTCTTATCTGCAAAGCACCTAACAAATACAGCAATTGCACTTCCTCCTTCTATGATTAGCTGTGAATGCAACAAGTGATAATGGAAAAGTTATATCAATATTATTGAAACATGTTATTTGGTCTGAAACAGAAACAGACTATACCACTGACCATTAACAGGACGAAAATCATAAGAAGAAAGAATGTTGTGTAGTTCCTCTTCCCAACGCAGTTATTCAACCACTAGGGGAAAAAAGGAGAAAAAGAATACCAGTTATATCTCAACAATCGAAGTGTGAACTAACCCTTCCTACAAAATATAAAGTTCAAAAAATCCTGTACTCACTCTGCAATGATGGTCAAACCCTTCAACGCAGCGGTTACATGTTCTGCAGTGTTTACTGTGCCTTTTCACCTGAGTCACAGAGATTAAAAAAGTGTTACTCCGTGGAATGCTTTTAATGAAAATCGTCTGACTAGGGAAAGCTTTCAAAACTAAACAACGACAAGTTATTGAAAAACCTCAAAATCACAAAGCAGGCAAAATGAGATGTCATCCTCTCTCAGATTGGGTGCAATGGCATCATCTTTCATGACAAGTGGAAATGGGAGCAAAGGCTCCATTTGGTTGCTTGTCTTCCATGGATCTAGGTACTTCCTCTTGATGAATGTCCTAAGCATCTTCCTTTCAACCCTTCTGAAAAACCTTACGATAATCTGTCCCAGTATAAAACCATAATTTAGCTTGGAAATTCCATTAGACTTTACTTTCTTCTTCTTCCTGAAGCTGGTTCTGTCTGTTGGATCAATAGCAGTACACCTAATGTACAAAAGCATAACGGAGATGGCCTGGGGAAAATGGCAAAGAAAGAAAACGGCCAGCGAGTCTTATATGAATTCTAACAAAACGTTGGTTAAAATAAAGGCAAGTTTCGAAATTGGGTTCAGTAAATTACCACAAAGGAAAATATCACGTTCATTACAATCTCCGCTGCTCTATTTCCGAAGCAAAGCCCCAGGAAAGTAAAGAAGGACACGACCAGAAGACTGTAAATAGCCATCCCGACATACTGCGAGATTTCCAGTTACAAATGTTAGCTCAAATTACGGGTTTTTCACTATCGAAACGTTTGCTCAGATATAAGACGATTCAATCAAATAAAGAAAAACTCGAGCCTTTGCAGTTTGGATTGAGAAAGCATAGAAAGTTAAAAAAATGCAATTGCGTTTTTGCATCAGCATTCTATAAATTAGAGTAGCAGGTAATGAAATTGGCATTCTATGAAGTAAAATCCAGGTACGAGCTTCAATGTTGAATTAAAAGAGGAATATATATGCACGGAACGGGATACCTGTAGAGGGTGCAGGGGACGCTGCCAGCCATGGCGTCTCATGATCTATGAGATCTGGAAAAACAGTCAGATCTAAGCCCAGTGTGAAGCAAATATGCTTAGTTACTTCATTCATTCAAGAAGTCAAGTCTATGACCTTCAAACTTGAGAGAATGCCCAAGTCTCAACGGTCGACAAGCTGGGTTTTTCGAAATTGAACGGCGCTCTATTATCCAAATTCTAGGGGCTGACTGATCTAACGGATACGAGCTTTCTAGAATTTATTACTGGATGGAATATGTGGGGCCCATTATGAGAATGCTTTCGTTGCTTTGACAGGCTTCGGTCTACCGGGAGATATGGGCCACATTGACGGATAGGGCCTTTGTGGATAGCCTTGATGTTTGCTAAGGAACGGAGTAAAACCAACAACCTCAGGCTCAGTCCACGTAATAAACATTCGAGTTAGATGTTTTGATTTTTCTTTTTGGACAAAAGAGTTAGATGATTTGATTTTAAATACAAGACTTTAATCTCTTTTATTTATTTTTTCAAACTACCCCACTTACATCTGTATTTTTTTTGGCCAAAACTTATATCTATAGTTAATGGAGGTAATTTTCAAAGTAAATAATTAAAATAGTGTATTTTTATAAAAATCAATACACATTTTTTTACAAATAATTAATAAATAAAAAAATTAGCTATAAACTATAAGTACAAGAGTAAATAAAATTTTAAATTCATTTTTTATGCAATATTTTTTTAAATTTTAAAAATGATATAATTTAGTTTCTACTGTTAATAAAAAGTTAACTTTTATTAAAAAATATTCAAAGAAGACCTCAAAAATTATTAAAAAGAGTGATATATATAATCCTTGGTTCATAGAAATTAAAAGATAACAGATATGCTGGCAATAACAAAAAAAAGAAAGATGAAAGATATAAATTAATAAAGAAATATGAAAGAAATAAATGCAGGAGTTACGATGAGTGCTGCAATTCCACTTTTTTATTATCCTTGAGCAAGGGAAAATTTTAGAAAAAATCAGTTTAAGGTTTCATGGAAGCACTTAAAATACGCTGAGGTCCCATGAATTCAAGAAATAGCTGCCAGGTTTCTAGGAACCTAAGGGTGAATAAGTCTGAAAATAAAATTACCAGTTTGCCCATTATTTGAAATACTCAAAAATTACTTTATTTCCCACTAACCTATGAAAGCACAAACCTAGGGTGAACGGTTTCTTTATTCCTCATTCTCGCATCTTCCATATTTAATTGCTGATCACCATTCTCACTATCGCATTTCGTCCGTCTTGTGTGTCTTGCTTCGTTAGTCAATAGCTTAACTGTGATAGTGATTCCCACTAACCTACCAAAAGCTCAAACCCACGGCAGACGGGATCTCTGTTTGCCTCTCTCACCTCTCCTAAAATTCATCGACAACCACCCTTCTTTGAGTCACATTGCCTCTATTTAGCCTTTGAGTTTAAGTATTCAACTAGTTTCGTCCTCTAAGGTAAATTTTTATTAGCTAAACCCTATCTTTGATCCATCATTTGTATGGGTTTGGGTCTTTTGTCTGCTGGAAATCTGATTACCTCTATAATATATATTTGATTTGAAAACATCATCATGATCGAAGATGCTTTGAAATCATCTAAATTAATTCTTGTAATGATCCGTAGGAAGTAGAAAAGGTATTTAGGCCCAATAATCCAACATTACGTAATGACTAGAAGAAGATGCGTTATATGACTAACACTAGATTTACTACAACAAAATTAGGGTCTGAACTCTAACAATGAAGTCCTGTGTGCCACATCCTGAGTGTGAGATTTTATTTTATCATACACACTTTGCTCAGCTAGCTTCTATCCATATGTTGTTGTTTGTTATGTTTGGCAATCATGCAAGACTAGTGTAGTATATTTGCTGAAACCAAATCTATGGCTTTGATAGATCATAGAAGCTGTCAAAGAATTAAAAGTTTTGAGATGTCAAAACTATTTATACTTTATAGATTTTGAGCTCTCAAATCCACAGTTTCTGTCAAAACTATAATTTTAGCTTTCACAAATATTTTTTCTAGGTACGTCCTAAAGATTAGCTCTATACTTTATAGATGTTGAGCTCTCAAGCAGATTCAAAAAAGCTTTTCTTGTTCACAAATGACATGCAAATTTTAAAGTGTATAACTAACTCATTGAACACCCCAAAATGATGCTTTATTGGATAACTAACTCATTGAACCCCCAGATTATAGTTTTCTTTGTCAAGATATTGGTGCATTGATGGAAGAATTCTCAATTGTGCTTAAAAATCTATAATTTTAATTATGTTTGAATTTCTTCATTGATGACAACTGCTTTCTTTGTTGACAACAACTATATGTTTTATTGACAAAAATCATTTATTCTATGAATGACAACTAATTACTCCAATGACTACAACCATAAACTCTATTGACAATAACCGTATGCTCTATTAACTAGTGAATCATTTTCCTTTAATACTTGTGTTTTCTTCATCCTTATGGATATTAATAAACAATGCTAGTGTAGAAAGCTCTGAATTGAAACTTAGTATTAATGGCTAGTATGCAAAAATATCTTTTCAACATATCTAATTAAAATTTTCTATTTTTTTTAGATAAAGAAAAATGGAAGAGAAAACAAAAACAATAGTGAAGAGATATACCGTACCATTTCATATGTGCTACTCTCCAAGCTAATTTAGTGAAGTGGCAAAGTATATTAAAAGAAATGAGAAATTACAGAAGAGGGTTGAGAAGTTAGGATTCCATAGACTTCTTGACGTGTTTTGTAAAAAAATTTCAAAAAGATATTTGTGGAGAGTTGATGCATGCCTTTGACCCCCCAACTTGTGAAATATACATAAGGGGAAAAATCAAGCAAATGAAGGCCAAGGATGTGAATGACTTAATGGGCTTACGTAGTGATGGTAAGCAGAGTATTGGGGATGTCAATGTGAATGATAGAGGTTTCAAGAATTTGAGAAATACTTACTATAAAATGCCTTATAAGGAAATAGCTGAAATGATTATATTTGGAAAAGAGGCAGCTAAATTTGATTTACTTTTTGTAATGCATGCATTGAGAACCTTGCTATTGCCAACTGCAAGTCTTGAGGTAAGCGACCATATATTAAAGGTCATTTATGAGACACAAAAGAAACCACATGTATATGATTGGGCTACGTTTATTTTTAATGAACTTTGCAAGGAGGTAGCAGACTACAAGAAACAAATGAGCAAAAAGAAGGGAAGGATGAGAAAGAATATTGGGAGATGTATCTACTTTCTAATGGTAAGCATGTGTTTAATTTACATTAATTTGAGGTGATAGCCTTTCAAATTTTTTTCATGTAAAATTTTTATATTTATACTGATTTTTTAAGGTTTTAGGTATGGGGCTTCCAAAATTTTCCAGTTGGTAAAGGTTGTCCAAAAGCTGTAGATGCTCTGAAATATTGGGATGATAATAAAGTGAATGCAAGAGTAAAGTTAGAGAAAAAGAGCAATCGAGGCATCTTGCATTAGCCAACTACTATAGATGGTAGTTCATCTACAAAGGTGTATCAAGAATCAGTATTTGTTTACCGGTATGTATAAAATAGAGTACAATAGACAAATATATATGATCTTGTTTATGCACTAAGTCAGAAATTGTCTTGCAGGAAGTAAGGAGGCTGTACGAAAAAGTGTTGTCATTTGTCTCTGACATTTGATAGGAACTAATGAGCTTGCAACCAATGTTGCTTGGACAAGGGTCAAAAGAGAATGAAGGTGAAAAATCACACGAGGAAGAAGATGATGAAGGGACAGATTCTGAGAGAAAGAAAGAAGATGAAAAAATAGAAGAGGAAGGAGATAAAAAACCTATTGATCAGGGGACAGCTTTTGAGGAAAAAAACAAAGATGACAAATTTAAAGAGGAAGAATATAACGAAGAAGGAGCTGAACGGAAAGGTTTTGAGGAGGGAAATGAAGATGAATAATCAAAAGAGGAAGATAATGAAGAAGAAAAATTAGAAGGGGAAGAAAATAAAGAAAAGGATGATGAACAGCAAGGTTCTCCTAAAGAAAAGGGCAACAATAACAATTCAAAAGAGAAAGAGGACAAGGAGGAAGGTGTAAGAGGGAAACATTCTAACAAGGATGAGGAAGGGAAAGGAGAAGAACAATTAAGTAAACATCCTAGAAGATCAAAAAGAGATAAAAGACCTGTTATGAAATCTCTATGAGTCAGAACTAATGTTAGAAAGAAGAGATAAATGGATGACAAGGAGTGATTATTTCAAATATACACAACACCATATGAGGAAGATGAGGGAGACAAGTAAGTCCTTATATTGTGCTTAAAAATTGACTGACTAAAATATTATTGATAAACTATTTATTTTTTCCTTTTTCTTCAACAGGATCATTATAGATTTGTGTGGCTATTACTTGACTCATGCAGAGCTACAATGTATTGGTGGAAAGAGATGGATTAGTGATATGGTGATGTCAATGGTTGCCTGAACTTTGGTAGGTGACCAAAAGGAAAATGAAAGGAAAGTCCAGAGACATATTTTTGGTTCTGAGTTCATGCTAAAAATGATTAGCATTCCTTTGAAATGGATGATTGATGACAATAAGGGAGAAATCTTTCTTGAATTTATTGGATATAACATTGCTGATTGTGAATTCATTTTTAGCCCAACTCTTTTTCATAGTCATTGGTTTTGCTATGTCTTCCAGACCAAGACCATGAACTTTTATGTGTTAGATTCATTGGTCAGTAATAGGGAGTATTTTCAAAGACAGGAAGAAGAGAAAAAAGAAGAGAATGTTGAGAAGAAGGATAAGGGAAAGGAGAAGAAGAAGAAGAAGAAAGGACAATTGGATCCTAAAGAAATGATGGCAAGAGAATGCATATGTCTATACTTGTCACTGAACATTACTAACATCTATATTTGTCATCGTCTTGTTTCTTAGTTGTAAATCAACATTGCTAACATTGCTAACATTGCAAGTCTTGACTTTGCAGAGGAATTGCTTTTACTCTCTACTTCGTGCAGTCAAGCCACAATTGTTTGAGGATGACATTAGCACGGATATTATATGGGCTAAAGTTCATGTGCAAACTGATACATGAGTTTCTTTTATGTTTATATATCATTAAGCTTATATTTACATGTGGAAAATGAATTTTACACTATTTTTTTAT